AGTGACCGGTTCAATCGGTTTTCTTAAGGGCTTGACCTGTTTGACCGGTCACGACCCGACCCGTTGACCCGACCCGATCGTTGACCGTTGACTGGTGCTATTCTGGTAAATAATTCGGTTTTGGTGCTATTTTGGTAAATAATTCAGTTTTGGTGCTATTCTGGTGATTAATTCGAAATGGGTGCTATTTTGGTAATTATTTTAAAAAGGTGCTATTTGTGTAAAATGTTCAACAGTTTGTTGACCTCCTTTGACCAGAACTTTGACCGGCTTTGACCGGCTATTAAACGATCGTTAATCTTTTCCGAGTATACCTATCCTGATAGTTTTCAACGTTCCGAATCCGTTTCCGTGGTCCGTTTCGTCAAATTCGAACCCGAAGGCCTCCAAATCAACGGTCAAAATGGTTGACTTTGACTTTGACCAAGAATTTGAATTTTTGAAAAGTCATACTTTATGTTTTTCGACGTCTTGATTCCGATTCCGCAATCCGTTTGGCCAAATTCAGACTCGAAATACCCCAAATTGATAGTCAAACCCGAAAAATGCTTATATACTTAAGAAGTTTAGCTTTGAACAATTAAATAGGATTTGAGACTGATAAATTATTATTGTTTGAAGGTACAAGAGACTCTCCGGATCGTTCGACAGCTCGACCCAGCTCTTCTAGATCAGTTAAACCACGTGTGCCAGTATTACTCATAAGTAATATAGTATTATTGTAAAATAGGTTCGAAAACTGTAGCAGAGCGTGGTGAAACCAGCAATCAGTAGATTTGCTATTTGAACCTATTGTCGAGGTGTGTTCCCTACTTATTACTGAACTGTTTTATTGGTTTTAATATGTGGTACACCGAATTCATTGGTTATTGTTTTATGGAAGCATCAATTTAATGTGACACTTTATGGAATATGGCTGCTATCTAATTTTTGGTTTGAAATGGTATATGATTACCATGTTTTTGGATTTATGGAATTTATGTCACGGTGCAATTGAATTTTGGAATTGAATTTCGATGGAATAGCTCTGATCAAGCTAAATGGGCCTAATGTGACTCTTGAGGGCCCCAAGATGTTTCATTAGGTCGGCTTTCCTTTGTTGTGTGCTTAGGGTAAGCTATATGGACTTATTGACTTGGGCTTAAGGATACAAGCTTCATAGCCTATCCTTAAGTCGGCTTTCTTTTTGCTATGTGCATAAAGTAAGCTATATGGAAATAATTTTGGGAACTACTGATGGTACCAGAAAGGGTTTAAACTATGATTTTCAAAAGTTAAACTCTTTTACGAATTTGTGTGATTTACTGGACTATGATTTGTTTAATGTACCTATTGTGATTTTATGGAAATGTTGGGACACACTGAGCCTAGCTCACCTTTCGAAAATGTTTTTCCCCTTTCAGATACTGTTGGTTAGATACCTGGGTACGAGCACTTGGAGAATCAACATATCTCTTGTAGTATAACTGATTGTAATATTTTAATCTTGCAAGTTGATTTTATTCTGGTGACATGGACCTATTATAAAGTATTGGATGTTATAATGATGATACTTTTGCTAATACTATTCAGTTTATCATGGTTTTGATTTTTAAGATATGTTTTAAATTAATTTATTACTGATTGATTTTATATTTAAGAGTTGAGTTTTGATAGTATAATTTGATTATAATTTCATGTTATTTATAATGTGATTTTATATTGATGGAATACCGGTTTCGGAAAATATCTTTAATAATCATAATGTGATCCACTAGACTTAGTCGAAACGCATAGGCCGAGTCTAGGGGGTTACAAATATGATTCTAGCAAAAAAAAGAAAAAAAAAAGGTCCAGTGACATTAGAAAGAATACAATGTGTAGATTGTAGATAAGATTTGTTTTATTGTTTTGTAAATAGTTTGTTAGTTAGTTTAGGATATATCTCCTTGTTTATCTCTAATTTAAAATTTTAAATAGAGTTTGAATTAGGTTAGACTATTTGTATAAAGTCTTTAAAAGGATGAGGACTTTCTTTTGTAAACTAACTTAAAAAGAAACAGAAAATCATAAATTCTTTTTCTACAGAAATTACATGGTATCAGCTTGGTACGTTCCTCTTTAGAAAAAAAAACCCTTCGATGGCTGTCACTTCTTCAGAAGTAACCACTGGAATGGCTGAGTCTTCTTCTTCCTCAGTTACTGTCCACAAACTGGTTATGTTGTGGTTAATCAATACAATGTCACCAACAATTGGGAAAAGTTTTTGCTGTATGAAACTGCACATGAGGTCTGGTGTGCTGTATAGGATACTTATTACGGCACTGATAATATATCCAACTTTATGGGATCGAGAGTAAAGCCTCTAATTTGAAGCAAGACGACATTATTGTCACTCATTACTATAGCACATTGACTTATATGATACTAATGCTTGGTATTGTTCATATGATGCAGTTCTCTACAAGAAGTTAACAAATCAGAAACGGATCTTTCAATTCTTGAATGGCCTGCATAAAAATCTAGATGTTGTCCGTGGAAGAATCCTTTGCACCAAACCCTTACCTTCTATTTGTGAGGTGTTTTTTGGGTCAGTAGGGAAGAAAGTCAAAGAGCCCTTATGCTAGCTGACCCCTCCGCCCTTGATGGGTCTGCCCTTCTAACCCATGCTACATCTACCAGCAAATTCCGATCAGGGAGGCCTTGGTGTGATCACTGCCGTAAGGTTGGTCATCTCTGGGAGAATTGCTGGAAACTACATGGTAAGCCTACTGATTGGAAACCTCTGCGCATACTGCAACAAAAAGTCTGCAGCCAGCGTTGCCACTGTAGAAAATTCAGCAAGCTTCAATCCGCAGCAACTTGAGGATCTCCAAAAATTAATTCGACATACTCTCTTTTCAGCCGAAACCAGTTCTGCATCTACAACACAGTTTGGTAAATCCACATTTCATTCACCTTCTACATTTCATTCATGGATAATCGACTCTGGTGCTACCGATCATATGACTGGAAATCGCAACCTGGTCCTAACAATTTCACAACCAACCATTCAGAGACTTGTGAAGATTGTTGATGGAACTTTGATTGTTGTTCAGGGTGTTGGATCTGTATTTGTTCATAATGATCAAAATGTTCTCTATGTTCCAAATCTTCAGTGTAATTTGTTATTTGTTAGTCGGTTGTGCATCGATCTTCATTGTAGTACTAAATTCAGTTATATTTACTATGTTTTTCAGGAACTGGACTCGGAGAAGGTGATTAGCAACTTGTATAGTGGACTTTATATTCTTGAACGTCAATCTCCTCATAAAAGATAAGTCCTATCAACATTGCATGAATTATTACTATGGGTGCTTAATGAGTTAAGCAGAAAGTTTGACTTGAATTGACTGGACTCAAAACTTTAACAAGTGAGTCGAGCAAATTTTAACTCGACTCGATAAGTTCGCAAGTAGCTTTTATTTATTTTTAATAATTTTTTAGTATTTATCTTAAAAATTTATTTTATTAAAAAAACTACTAATTTACTAATAGATAATAAAAAGATGATAAAATGACTAACATATTATTTTTTAATAAATAATAACAAATACTAAATTAATAATTATTATTTTACTATACCCTAAAATAAACCCTAATTACTATTTTAATGTATTTTTAGATTATTATTTTGAAGTTTATACTTTTAATTTGTTTCGTACACTCTTTTGATAACTTTTTAGTTAAATTTATTAATTTATGTTTATATTAAACTCTATATAATATCAGTAGATTTTACCTACAATTAAAATAAGTTAAAAATTTTGGTGAACTTAACGAACAGTGAGACGAGTAATAACATTTTAGTAACGAGCTTAATGAGTATAAGTTGAGCAACAAGTTTTTTAACGAGCACAAGTCGAACAAAATTTTAATGAGCTTAACAAGCACAAGTTGAGCAACAAAATTTTTTAATAAGCACGAGTCGAGTAAAATTTTACTGAGCTTAACGAGCAACGAGTTGAGTTGAACAACTCAATTTTTAACGAGCACGAGTCGAGTACTTTCCAACTCGCTATCGACTCCCTCAATAAGTACCCTAATTATTACTTTTATATTTTTATTTGTTTAATTATTATTTTTATTATTTATATTTATATTTTTGTTTTTGTCACTGACATTTTTTTAAGAAAAGAAAATTAAAATTTTAGACCTCATTCTTAAATTTCTGGATCCCACTGTAGGGACGCCTCAATTTTTCACGTGTAATTGATTTTTGGATTCGATCATGATTTCAATCTTGATATAGATTAAATTTTAAAGGTGTTTGATCGTATTCAATCAAAAATGACCGATGAATACTCTAATCACGTGATGAGCATTTAAAAGACTCAACAAACTTGAACAACAAAAAGACAACTTGGACATCAATATTCTTCTATTCTTTCTTCTTTTAGCTGGATATTAAAAAAGGAAAATCTAAGTAACGACTATTTTAAGATTAAAAAGGATAAAAATAGACCCAATTGAAAATATGATTAAAAAACATAATAATTTAGGTTAGTCGCATCCTAAAATATTATATTCTCTATAATTTTGTAATTAAACCTAAAATATTATATTTTTTAATTATATTTTTGATTATATCCGTTTCTATCAGTTTTAACCTTAAATTAAATTATCTTATCATAAAACTACCAATATTCATAGAACCTTGCTCTTGTGATATTTTTACTGTTGTGCTCTGTTCTTCTTTTACTCAAAGGGAAAGTCTTCCCTTGTGTGCATGAGTTGTACTCTATTTTTCTCATTTTCTTAATTAAATTGATGAAATGAAAACACTTGCATACCTCATTTCCTTAAATAATTTGCTCATACCTCTATTTTCTTAATTTCATTTTATAATATTTTACAAATTTAACCCTAGCCCTTTTATCTCGTTTGTTTTAATAAAAAAATAGTTGCAACTATCTCATTCCTATTTCTATTCCCAACCAAGTAAATAAAATAAACAACTAGTATTATTTCAAAAAGGAAAGTTTGTTGAGAGGGAAACAGAAAAAAACTGAAAATCAAACAGTGTGGAGTCTCGCCATTTGGACCACCATGGCCAGCCACTTCCACCGCTCAACTCCTCTGCCCCCCACCACCCATTCATTCCTTTCCAAGCTTCTCCTCCTCCTCACAATCCTCCCTCTTTCTTTAGCTGTCTTGGCCTTCGTTCTCCAGTGGCGCGGTGGCGGTGTCTCCGATCCCACCTCCGCCGTTTCCCGATGGACCCCACGTGGTTCCCGCCGTGAGCTCTTTCCTGGAATGGAGAAATTATCTTCTCTCCCCACCAAAAATCATCATCATTCTGATTGCGTCGATCTTGGTCGTAGCTCTTCTCCTTCTTTCCCTTACTACAGGGACTGGAAATTTGGTTTTGAAGCCGATTTAAGGCCAAAGGTACGGTTTTAGTCTTCTTGGATATTATTATTATTATTTTTGTTGTTTTTTTTTATTGTACATTTCATTTGGGGATAGATTTTCTTGTTTGGTATGATAATCTAAGTGCTTGGGCCTTTCGGTTCTTTTTTGTTTTTGTTTTGGAAGATTGATCGTGCTTCTGGAATTGATATCTGCCCGATATTCTTAACCATTATGGTTTTGGGTTGGATCTTATTGAATTCCACGATTCCGGTTAATTGTAACCATTAAGATGTAATCATTGAGGTTTAACTGATTATTTACTTGTCTCGATGAATATATAAAATTAACAAGAGCAAACTACACAAATAATCACTAATATTTGAGTAAGTTTAGATTAATTTTAATAACTATTTGTGTTGTTTATCCTTTTTAATTTTATATATTCATAGTCTAACCCCAATGATCACGTCTTAATTAAATAAAAATGAAATTGACCAAATATTATATTTTTTGAGTTCAATGAAGAAAAATATACAAACTTAAAGTTAAACCATTTTTTTTTACAATTTCATTCATCAATTTCCATGTTTTCCCTTTTTGATGCGTACATTGGATCTTTCTCCCAATTGACAGGTAGTTTGAATTAGAAAACAACATTTTGGTTTATGAAGTTGTTCTTTCATCAAGGCATTTTCTTTCTCATCAAACCATATTAGTAATAAGCACATATACATCCTTATACGTTCCTTTGAGTGTTTTTCTTCTCACATAGCAGATTTGTATTACAACAAGTACATCAGCCGGCTTGGACCAGATTCTACCATGGATGTTTTATCATAAGGTTATCGGAGTCACAACCTTTTACCTTTTTGTGGAAGGACAAGCTGCATCTCTTAATGTTTCCAGAGTTTTAGAATCTATTCCTGTGAGTTTACAAACTCTTTGGCTTCCTCTGATTTAGTTGAAGTTCCACTTGATTTTCCTCTGGTTTTGTTTGTCCGAATCGCTCATAAAATAACTTCTATTTCGTTTCTCTTTAGGGAATAAAAGTTATATATCGAACAAAAGAACTCGAGGAGCAGCAAGCTAAAAGGTAATTAAACTAGTTTGAAATACATCTCTTGGATTCTGAGGCTTAAAAGAACCTATGCTCAGTGCTTCTTCCTATATTGTGCTTAACTAATACTTCAGCTATTGGTGATAATATCTCTCTTCACTTTTTTTTCATAATTATCTTCTTACTTAATCTTTATTTATTTATTCGTGTGTTTTTCCTGGTTACCAGCCGGATCTGGAATGAAACGTGGCTTGCAGGTTTCTTTTACAAGCCTTGCAATTATGAGCTATTTGTAAAGCAGTCTCTCAATATGGAAAATGCCATTGTCATGGCAAGGGTATGATGTGTGATGGTTTTTTTTTCATGAACTGAAATTCTTTGATTTTAGCATCTCTAGCTGGGTAGTCTCTTCACCTTACTTTTTACTAACTTTACTCGGTTTCTTTTCGAAATATAAGGATGCTGGAATGGACTGGATAATTCATCTTGATACTGATGAATTAGTATACCCAGCTGGTGCAAGCGAATATTCTTTGAGGCAGTTGCTGCTTGATTTGCCTAGTGATGTCGATATGGTCATATTTCCTAATTATGTGAGTGGCATTATATTTATTTGTAAAACTGAAAACTGGAAATTGTTGTTTATGATTGTATATACTCTTATTCGATTGGAATCATGTCCTGTTATGCTTGATAGTTGACCCTTTTTGTTTAGGAGAGCAGTATTGAACGAGATGATATCAAGGATCCTTTTAGTGAGGTAAAATTTCACTTGTCCTTTTTTTTTTTCTTGCTTTTCATTAGTTCAGTAAATTGAATGACTGAAGTTAGTGGTTTGGAGTTTGGCACAGGTGTCAATGTTCAAGAAGAACTATGATCATCTTCCGAAGGAGACATATTTTGGCTACTATAGAGAATCGACTCGTGGTAATCCAAACTACTTCTTGACTTACGGGAATGGGAAAGCAGCTGCTCGGATTCAGGATGAGCTTCGTCCGAATGGTGCTCATAGATGGCACAATTACATTAAAGCTCCAAAGTATGGTGACTGTGTACTTATAGAAATCCATTGATCAGATTACCTGATGCATTAGTAACATCACAAATAGATATCATTACTAATACATGTCTCATGAATTCTAAGTATTTGAGTTTCTGTTTTGAAGAGAAATCAAATTAGATGAGGCTGCTGTTCTACACTACACGTACGCCAAATTTTCAGCCCTGACATCTAGACGTGACCGGTGTGCCTGCAAACCTACTAAGGAAGATGTCAAAAGGTGTTTCATGTTGGAATTTGATAGAGCTGTAAGTTTAGTACCTTCTGTTATTCTTTAGAGGTGTGTTAATTATTAGAATATGGGGAACACAACAAGCTAAGGCACAAAAGCTCGAGAGATTTGAGCCAGATATGAAGAGTTTTGGATTGACACTGATAAACCAGTAGCTATATTTCTTTCGATTGATGTTTTATAGTGTCTCAATTCCCAAGCGATTCATAAGGCAATACAATGATGCATTATGTGTTTTGTGGTTAACATTCCTGAGGTGTTCTGTGGACTATATTGGATCTTGATTATCAACTGTTCTGTCATTGTAGACATGAATGTTGTTCTTTGCAGGCATTTATAATTGCTTCAACTGCATCGGAGGAAGAGTTGCTTCACTGGTATAAACTTAAGCACAGCCTTTTTTTCCACCTTAGATACTAATGTGTGAACCTGCTGATGTAGGACTGTTGGCATCTGGTTTATGCAGGTACCAAGAACATGTTGTTTGGGGCGATAACAACCTTAAACTGAAGCTCCTGAGAAGGGGGATTTTAACTCGCATATACATTCCTATGGTAATGAATGTTATAGCATTTCTCACAGGAAATTAAAGCTAGTGTTATGAGCATCCATCTTTGTAGCTATAAATGTTATCGGTTGCTGCCATGCCAGGCCATAATACAAGGTTTAAAGGAGTCCGGGGTGTTCAGATCAGTGATTGCAAATGCACCCACAACTGTTTCAAGGGACAAGTTCTTATCATCAATTGATAACAGCAACTCATCAAGAACAGTGTCTTTTGCTTCAAGAAAGATTGGTGGAGGCGGTGAGAAGCAGGCATCTGGTAGGAAGGTACTGGGAATTGAAGCAGCTGTTCCACCATTGTCACCTCCTGTATTGTAGATGTCTCTATTTCAAGCAATTTTCTTGTTTGATGTATAGTGCGACGACAGATTTCTGCTCTGCAACTCCATGTTGAAGCATTGTAATTTTTATTTGTAGATGTTGAGGATGTCATTATTTCTTAGTCATTAGATGGAAATAAAAGCAAATATAATTGCATTAATATTATTTTCCAATGCCATAATCAAAACGACATAATATAAATAAAATCATTTTTTATCAATAAATATTGTCCGCAATTTTTAATCCATGAGGAACCTGATATAAGAGTCAAATATTGTACAATATTGTTAAAGTCGAGCGTTGCTCACCTAATAATGCACCGTAGTGTTGAGGTTTGATTTTGCCCACCTAACTTTACTCTGTCTTTATTTGACACTCTAGTACTACTTAACTTTGCAGCTGCTTGACTCTATGGCATGCCATTAATACCAATGAACCTCAATAACATACTTGGGCCTTTATTCATGAATTAAATCATCCATGAAAACGTATAACCATGTAATAAACATTAGGGTAGTTCATGCCCAAAATAAAATCCATGACAAAATATCACGCTAATAAAAAAATAAGGTAGGCTTGTCGCAAGTCTTCCTGATGATATATAAAACATCTATGTACAATGTCATGCATGTATTGCACTCACCTTGACACTTTATATATCAAAAGATGTCTCACTATGCTCCACACTATATACTTTTATATTCGATTTGCTTCGATCACAAAATCAATCACAATCTGTACAAAATAATAAATTATTATCGATACATATGTTAGTATTGTACTAACATAAACACATCTCCATAAGAAAATCCATAATATACTTGAAACTTATTCTCCACCAAAATACTTGAACATTTAATAATTCTTTTAATATTGGCAACAACTTTTCTAATTTACACAAAATGGTCCTTCACTTTTTTATCACTTAAATTTTTAATCCCAAAATTCCAACATTGAAATTATTACCATCCAAGTGCTTTTTACAAAGGAACAATTAGATTTAAGCACCCCAACTATACGAATATTGCAAATTACAAAGCTTGAAAATGAATCTACAACCTAATAAACATCAAGATTCATCATCATTTTCATGAACCCTGGTTGAACACCCTAGGATTTGGGATCTTTGAAATCAAGCAAGTTTAGTAAGCATAAATGGTATCAAAAGATAGCGTTTCTCGCGTAGAGCAATTTTCTATTTCACGGCATAACTTGAAATCGAAAGTAAATTGCTCAAAAATGGAAACAAATTTTTTTCTTACCTTATGAGGGTTCACGACACTTGGAGAAGAAGATGAACAAATTGGCATGAAATTTTAGATTAATTTCATGCTTAATGAAACTTCATATTTACCAACAAACCAAGACAACTCAACCTTATCATCTTCCTAAAGTCAAAGATGAACAATCAAAATCTTACTTTACCAATTTGCCCTTGTATTTTCCCAAAATTTACAATCTTGCCACTTTAATCCAACGGTCCGATTTTTAACATGGAATTAAATCCTCAAATCCAAATATTTATATTATTTTAAAAAAAATTTAAGATGTGTTAATACTATTTTTAGGTCTAATTTATCATCCTTCAGATTTTTCTGAAATTTCGATTCGATCCGATTTACCGAATTTTTCTCAAACTTTATCGCTTTATAACTTTTAATACAAAATCCGTACGAATATTATGATTCCTATAAAAACGTTATTATTGAAGTAAACTATTTATTTACGGGGCCAAATTGTAACTTTTAAAATTACCATTTTGGTCCCTAAACTTTTCCAAAATTTATACTTTAGTCACTTAACTTTCAAAAAATGCATTTTGGTCACTATCTAAAATTTTGGGTATTACAGGGTGAGAGTCTTTTTTTTTTTCATCAAATATTCAAAAAAAATTCTTTATTTTTATTCATTCCTTTTTTATTCTCTTTACATTTATGATCACTCATTTGTTTATTTTATAATGAGTATTTGTATTTACTTATTTCATGTGACTTTTTAAATTTTACACTTTTTATTTGTTTAATTTAAATATTAATTTATTATGTTATGTATGGTTTATATTATTTTTTATGTTGGTACACGTGGCTTATTTACTTCACTTTTGCATATTAGAATTAATCACATTGTTTTAAAAATCCTAACTTCTTTTGTCGTACAGTAACAAATTCTCAAGGTAAGTAATTTCAATCTCTTTAATTTGGTCTCAAACTTTATTTTTAAGATAATCACTCTTTACTTTAATTGTTCATGGTTGTTTTTAATTTATGTATGTATTTGTTTTTAATTATTTGAATTATAATCTTATCATATTAATTGAACTGATTCTTTGATTTGTTTCTTTAAAATTTTTAAATAATATTCTATGAAGCATGTTGTTCTATTGCATGACATCTTTATTTATTTTGATAAGCATGATAGCCTCATCTACATAACTCAGCCTTTTCAATAATGAATTAAAAAGCAATGCACATTTAATTTAAATTATCTAAGAGAGTTAAACTAATCCACCTAGGTAGCTTAATTCGGTAATTTAAAGTGAATGGGCATCCTCTAGTGAAATCATACAAAATAATAAATTTTAAAACTAATAAGGATGGTAGATAGGGAAATTTATTATATTTAGAATTATAAAAAAACGAGTCTTTCGATCCTATTCGGATATTTTGTTTTTGTATTTAGAAATATTTAAATATTCTCTATCTATCTTAAAGGCCCGATAATTTTCATAAATAAAACTTTTTTTGGTGCATAACCTTAGATAAATAAATAAAATGATTATAGTATTTCTTATTTCTTTCCAAATAAGGGAAAATCACCACTCTACCTTGTATTAGGTGGTGTTTCCCTTTGGTTTGAAACGTTGAAATATTAAAAAATTGACTTTAAAATTTTTTAGAACAAAATTAGTGATTCACCGCTTGTTAGAAATGAGAGTGATGTCACTCTACCATATATTAAGTGGTTAACTTTCTTCGGCTAAATGCACGAATTGTTAATTCTCTCTCTGAAATTTTAATTTGTTAAATAGCATTGTATTTGTTTTACTAAAAATGGATCATTAATTAAATTAAAATTTGAATTCATAAATTCCATTGTAAAGACTAATTAATTGACTAGGTACCGATTTCTGGGTGTTGTGGGGGTGCTAACCCTTCCTCACACGTAATCGACTGACAAACTCGTTTTTATGGAAAGCAATCCAAAGCGTTATTTTAATATTTTTTAAACTTAAATTTTATTAAAATGAAAACATTTTTTGGTGTTCCCACTACACCCTATAAAAGATTGGTGACAACTCTCTCGGACCACATTTTTGTTTTTAAAACCCAATTTTAGTCGAAACGAAACCATAATTGTTTTTGATTTTTTGAGACATTACGATTGCTTGGCGACTCCGCTGAGGACTTTATAGAGTTAGGTCGTTAGTTGATTAATTTTTGTCTTTACAATGGAAATTAGGAATTCAACCTAATTTATTTTTTTTATTCCTTTGGTTATACTTGTTTGTTTGCATTCATTTTTAAAACATGATGACATATGCATATTTATCATTGTTCGTACTGATGTGTGTCTTTCAGATTATTAAGTTAAGTGAATTGGTTTTTGTTCAAGAATTTTTCGTTAATTATTAGTAAGGTTGATAGATTCCTCCTCACACACTCACTATATTTGCATAACATAAACCTTATACCTGGGTTGTCCCTTTTAGGTGGGGGTGAAAGCGACGCATTCATAGGAAATGTTTCATCGTGTCAAACCTAGTAATTAACCTTCGGGGTCCCTACCTTATGCCATCATGGGATATGTTTCTCCGTTTCAAGCATAAGGAGGTGCATCATCTCGAATTTAACTTGATTCATATGAACTTGTGATGGGTTTAGGATAGAAAGTTTGGCAATCCCAAGGGGCACCAACGGGGATAATTTGAGTACTTTTGACCTTAGAGCCGAAACCATGCATGTAATATACCCTAGAAATATACCTGGATCAAAACCATGTAAAACTCATAGGAATTCCAAAATAATTGTACACAAAGGAGAAATCGACCTCTACCCTTTCTCTTTTATTTTTACAAGCAAAAAACATGTGAACTATAAATCACATGGTTAAGACTTATTTTCTTATTGAATAAAGCATGAGAGTAGAAACCTTGTGTGGGTAGGATTTTTATCTTTTTCATGATAATGGTATAATACTTGTGGAGTAGGATTTACTGCCTCTATCTTTTATTTATTGTTTTACTAACTTATTTTTCTTTTTCCGCTTTCTTTGATTTATTACCATGTTGCATCATATTAACATACTATAAAACGTGTTGATATGTGGGTGTTCTATCAAATTAGAAAATTTTCACAAATGAACCAAGGGTCCAAAAGCATCTAGCTTCATATTCAGATGTTCGTACTTGGTCGAAAGCAATACAACATGAGCATGGAAATAGTTCACCACTAGATTTCATGTTAGATTTGTCAAACAAGACTCATTTTAGTAAAAAGAAGATTGATTCAAAGGATTCCCTCTTAGAAAGGTAAGCTCAATGGTGGCCGATAAACTCAAAAGCCATCCATAAAGTGAAAGAGACTCGCACGATACATGAAAGTACTAGCAGAATGAGTTGAAGCCATTCAAGTCCATATTGATCCTGTCTTTGACTAAGAATCACTTGGATGAGGAATGAAATCTCATATTTAAATAGAAGGGTTAGGTCGCATCCATAATCCAACTATTTACGATATTTGGGATTATTCTTTCGAATGAAAGTTGTTATATGATGGGATATTATATGGATCATTTCCTTTTCTTGCATTTGCATCTTTGCATTTTATATTTACATAACATTTTCATCTTTGCATTCTACATTTGCAGTTTCATCTTTGTATTTCACATTTACATCTTTGCATTTTGAATGACGTTTAAGCATATTTGCATGCATTAATCATGAAAAACATTAAAATAATCCATGGAATAATTTCGTCCAGTGATTCTAATCACGCAATTCATCGCCTTCCTTATCTCAAA